CCAGGCCCAGCCCGTCGGAGTCGTCCAGCACGTACGCGCCGCCGGGCGCCAGCAGCGCGCACAGCAGCAGAGGCACCGCGGCGCGGCCCGCCGAACCCGCGGCGGCTGTCATGTCTTGGATTCGGCGTTGCCGGGAAGCCTCCCGTGGGCTCACAGCCATTGTGTGGGTCATATGACTCCAGCGCCTGGGGAGGCGGGTCAGGCCGCCGCCATGATGGAAAAGGGCAGGAGGTGGCTGACGCCCACGCCGCCATTTTGACTACGGGCCCCGTGTAGCCCGAGGATGTATGGGGAGGGGTGGAATCTGGTTTTTCCTTTAGTTGGGTTGCGAGTGATCGGGTTGACGTGGGCCTTCACGTGTACTCGGTTTCTAAGCCACCCCGCTGGTCTTCAGCTGATGGAACATGGAGCATGGTAGATAGCCCAGGTCCCCCTGAGGATCAGAGCCATGCGTGGCCCCACCATGACCTACTCCAGTCTTGGGGTGCACCCACCACGTGCCGCTGAACGGCAGAGCAAGACGAACTTCTCCCCACCACCTACTAGGCAATTATGACTAAGGCGGTTCACCTCTGGAGTTGAGGCTGTCCATTTGTAAAGGAGAGACCGATGCAGTGCATCATAGGCAGTCAAGTTTTGGTCATTCCTCGCTCAGAGTACCCAACACCACACAGTAAGTGACCATCTGTACCAGGGCAACATTGACAGCCACCCACTCAGGGGACCCCCCCACCCCCAGCAAAGGAGCAGAAGGCAGGACACATAAAGCTTTGAATGTACTTCTCTTTCCACATGTAAGGCCATTAGGAACAAAAAGATAAATGGATTATTCTTCTCTTTATGTTAGTCTGTATTTTTTGTTATTTAAAGTATGAATCTGTATAAATTTTTTAGTGTATGTTTTGGGGTTTTATAAGAATTTTTTTTTGTTGGTTTTGCTTTGGCGTTTTGGGTTGTTTGTGTTCTTGTTTGCTCTTTTGTTTTTGGTCTATAATCACCCAAACCCAGATCTAACGCAGCTGATTCCCCTTCAGCAAGTCCGCCTCCTTCATGAATAAAGGAGCCAGACCCTCCCTCTTTTACTATCAAGCAGCAAAAGTTTTCACAGTGACTATCTCTATCAGCCAGTTACTTGAATCTGCATCTTCAACTTGGAAAGGTCACCAATGTACTAGAAGCTGAGATGGAACCCTAACAGAATGGAGAGGAGGCAGCCACGCAGAAAACCCATCCGAGGCGACCTCAAGAGCCCAGCACAACAGAGTCAACAGTATCATCCCAGTCTGAAGGCCCAAGCAGGGTGACCTAGCTGTCTTTTGATCCTGACTCTAACCAATTCAATAATCCTGGTTCCAGTGCTTGATGCTGCTTCCTCAGTCCTGTGTCATCTCCTGAATGCTCACCAAGTCATTAATTTTCTGTCCAGGGTAACCACAGATAGTTTCTGTTGCCTACAGCAAAGAATCTTGAGACATTCACACCTACGTAGTTCTAACCACTCATTTGCTAATGAGATCATAGCAAAGAATTCTCAGCCTCTGTATGTGCATTCTCCCCACTTCAAAACCTATCAGTAATTGTTACTGAGTGGGTTTACTTGGAGGATGGAACTGCAAAGAAAGTTTGCGATCCTCCTCTATTGTACTTGTGAGATGTTCATTCCCCTTTGGATTCTCAATACCCATTAGGAGTCCACCAAGCTTCCAAGGACCTAGGCATAAAGAAACTGACAGTTTAAGAAATTTTGTGTGTGGGTCTGGTGTGAGTGGTGCTGGAGACAGAACCCAGAGTCTACACTTGCTAAGCAAGCAATCTCCCAGTGAGCTACAATCTCAGCCCTGAAGATCTTTTTTTAAATACCTAGTACAATCCTGTCCAACAGAAATATAATGCAAAATGCATAACCAATTTAAAATTTTCTAGTAACTACATTAAAGTAGGAAACATGTAGTTAACTTTTAGGTATATTTTATTTAACCACAAATATCTAAAACGTCATTTTACTGTATTCAACATGAACATTCATTTTGTGCTCTTCATATTTCTTTGAGTGTATTTTGTGCATATGAAACAGCTGAATTTGGATTAATTTGAATTGTTTTCAGTATGCAAAGATCACATGATTTCAGTGACAGATAAGTGTCTCTGTGATTTGCTGTAGCTGTATGTCAACATACCACAGACTGAATGGCATTTCTCACTGAAAGCTAGAAGTCCAAGAAGAGAGTATAAGTTTGGTGTCTCCTGAAGTCTCTCTCCTTAGTTTATAAATGTGCAGATAACTTTCTTCTGTGCAGATAACTGATGTCTCTTTGTATGTCCAATTTTCTTCTTTCTTAAGTTAATCTTTAATTGACAAATATCTTTAATTGGGTCATGCATGACCCAATAGCATATATACATTATGGATTGGCTAAATTGGGATACTTAACATAGGAATTGTCCCCCCTATTTTTGTAGTAAGAACACTTAAAAGTTTACTCTCAGTAATTTTCAGGAATACAATAACTTTTAGCCATCACCCTGCTATACAATAGTTCTCTTGAACTTAATTCTCCCACGTAACAAAGTTTGTATCTTTTGATCTTATCTCCCAAAAACATCTTTACCCCCAATTGCTGATAACCACAAATCTTAATTTCTACTTTTGTGTGTTCAACTCTTAAATTCTTCATATAACTGCAGCATTTGTCTTTCTGTGCCTTGTTTTTGATGTCCACCAGATTTGTCTATGTTATCACAGAGGGAAAATTTCCCTGACTTCTTACATCTAAATAGCATTCATTTATATATATATATATATATATATATATATATGTTCATCCAATGATATACTAATAGCTGTGGATATTGCAGCAATGTGTGTGGTGGTGCAAATATCTCTTTAACAAATTGTTAGAAATAGCATGGGATGTTGGAGTGTCACACAGGAATAAGGACACCAGCTGTAAAGGAACTTGACAAAGTAAAATTTACTTCTGCAGAAGCGTGCACTATCAACTAAAAATCTGTCAAGCCAACACACAGAACAGGGAGGGAACCTTTTTATCCCTAACCCAACAGACCCTGCCCCTCTGCTCTTATTGGCTGAGCTCGGGTTCACAATCTGCAAAAAAAAAGATGTGTCTTAATTAATAGGATGCAATTAAAATTCTAGGAGCTTCTAACAAGATGTTTTAATAAAGTACTCAGGAAAAGGATGTAACTAATATGTAATTAAGAAGAGCCAATCCACCTAGCCAAAGCAGAGCCCATGAGAAAAAGTTTTCTCAAGATTAACAAAAAGAAGCACACTACTTTGGCAGAAAAGAGTTTTTCTCACAAAGCTGATTCTACTTCATTTGGATACATTCCCAGTAGAAGTATTGCTGTATCATATGGCAGTTCCATTGTTAATTTGTTTTGAGAATTCCTTGTAGTTTTTCATATGGCTGTATCAATTTATATCTTCCCTCTCTTTGATAATAGCCATTCCATCAGACATGAAATCACATCTCAAAAAAATTGCAATTCTAATTTGCATGTCCCTGGTGACATGTGATGTTGATTATATGTATATGTATGTATAGATGTGTATATATGTATGTGTATATATAGATAGATGTTAGTCCCTTAGATATATGGTTATTTTCTCTCATTTTATAAGTTGTCTCTTTATTCTGTTGATAACTTCCATGAATAAGCATATGCTTTTTTTGGGGGGGGTGGTCAGTCATGGGGCTTGAACTCTGGGCCTGGGTGCTGTCCCTGAGCTCAAGGCTAGTGCTCAACCCCTTGAGCCACAGTGCCACTTCCAGTTTTCTAGGGCTTTATTCAAGATAAGAGTTTCACAGATTTTCCTGCTTGAGCTGGCTTTGAACTGGGATCCTCATATCTCAGCCTCTTGAGTAGCTAGGATTACAGGCATGAACCACCGGCACCCAGACACACATATGCGTTTTAGCTTTTTATTTAAGCTCCCATCTGCCTTGTTTCATTTCTCCTGTCTGTACATCTTTAAGATCATGGTCAGAAACATATTGTCCATTCCGTTGTCAGCAAATTTTTCCTCCAAGTCTTCTAGTAGTTATATAAGTTCAAGTATTTCATTTAAGTTTCACTTAATTTTAGATTTATCTTTATAAGGTATGAGAAAAGAGTTTAATTTTATGCATGTAAATACCCAGTTTCTTAATATTACTTATTCAAGACATTGTCCTTGTCATTGTATGCCCATAGTACTTTCGTCAAAAATCAACTGATAGGAAATGCAGCAACTTATTTCTGGGCACTCCAGTCTGCTATACTGGTCTCTGTGAGTTTCTATGTTAGTTTCAAGTCATTTTGATTATTACAAATTTGCAGTAGATTTTGAAGTAAGATAGTGTGATTCTTCAGGCTTTGTTCTCTTTGCTCAAGATTGCCTTTGCTGTTTAGAGTCTTTTGTGGTCCCATACACATTTTAGGATGTTTTTTAATGTCTGTGAAAAAAATGTTATCAGGATTTTGAGTGGCATTACATCTGTAGATAGTTTGGGGTGATTTGGACATTTTCACAAAGAAATAATATTTCAACCCACCAATAGGATATTTTTCATTTATTTATACCTTTAATAGTGTCATTAATGTTTCATAATTTTCCATGTTCAGTTCTTTCATCATTTGGTTTTACTTTATTCCTACATTTAAAGTTCATTTAGAATTTATTTGCTGCTATTGTAAATGGAATTATTCACTTAACCTTTTTGCAGATAGTTTATTGTTAGTACATAGATGCTGTATGGGTTTTTGTTGTTGCTTTTATGTTTTATTACTTTACTGAACTTATTTACTGGTTCTAACAGGTTTGTGGAGAATTTTTAGAGTTTCTTATATGGATGGCCATGTTATCTGCCAAAAGGGACAATTTAAGTCATCAATTCCAGTTGGATGCCTTTTATGTGTTTTTCTCTTGCCTCGTTGCTCTGGTCAGCACTGCACTACTATGTTGAATAGAACTGACAGTAGTAGGCATCTTTATTTTATTGCTGATTTTAAGGAGAAATTTTCAAATTTTTACCACTTACAGTGCTGCTGCTGTAGGCTTATTATATATGGCCTTTGTCATATTGAAGAACATTCATTCTACACCTAATTTATTGAATGTTTTATCACAAAAGAATGTGAATCTATCATATAAATTCCTACATCTCTTGGGGCAATAGAATGTGGCAGATTACATTCATAGATTTCTGTCTATCAAACTACATTTGTATTTCCAGAATAAATCTCACATGATCATAGTAAATGATCCTTTTAATTTCTTGTTGAATTTTATTTACTGCATTTTGTTGAGGATTTTCTTTTTTTATTCTTTTTTTTTTTTTTTGGTGGGTCGTGGGGCCTGAACTCTGGGCCTGGGCACTGTCCTTCAGCTCGTCAGCTCAAGGCTAGCACCCTACCACTTGAGATACAGTGCCACTTCCAGTTTTCTGAGTGGTTTATTAGAGATAAGAGTTTCACGGCCATTCCTGCCCGGGCTGGCTTTGAACCATGATCCTCAGATCTCAGCCTCCTGAGTATCTAGGATTACAGGTGTGAGTCACCGGCACCCAGCTTGCCTCAGACTTTTCTATTCCACTCGGTTGCTTCCAACTTTTGCAACTCTAAACCCACATAATGCTCTTTTCCCTTTTCCTAACTTCTGGTCAAGAATGTCCTCTCTATACAAAATGGTTCACTGAATGTGAGGGCTGGGTACAAAGAAATGAGGCTGAGAAGAATGTAGTATTTCAAAATCTCTCCTATTTAGATGCTTTCACAAGTGAAATTGCGCCAGACAGAGG